ACTAGGACTTAATAAACCAAGATAAGGCCCTGACCGAGACTGCGTAAGGGATAATGAGACGTAAGCTTGTCAAGTTACGAAGCTATCCGTCATAACCTCTCAGTCAGGGATCATTAAGATTTAACCACCCAAGGAAAGGCAAAACTAGGGCTGCGTAATCTCGTACATCTGGTTTGATTGATGAAGTTAATATAAAATATTAGACGGTTGTTAGTGAGATTAGAACCATCACTCAGTATAAAAGTCCAGTTATCTCCTTTTAAATAACTTTCTCCTTCAATATTTCAATCAAGCCTGAACAGTTCTTACTCAACCTTAAACCATCGTTCCTTACATCAAGACTATTACTTGATTAATTACGTATTATTATTTATTAATTTCAAAATGAAGTAATCCATTATCTAGGCAGATTTATTGAATTGATTAGTTTATCGAATAGGTTTCCTGAGGAGAGTAATATTGAGCCGAAGGTGATTCCCGATTTCGGGCAGATAATCATCTCAAGGAAATCGTGTGCTCTCTGTAGGGATTCTGGTTATTTATGTTGCAATAATATAATTGTTATGAAGGCTGATAATGGTAAAGTAATGGATGAATCAATTTATGTAAAAGAAATAGTAGTTCATTTAAATGATACTACACCGTTTCGTTTTTTAGTTATGAGTATATATAAGAGGTAAGAGAAAACCGGATAGCCTTACTGAGCTAGCGTTAATATTAGACTTTAAAAAGAAATAGTTCCAGCTCTAATGGTGTCCCTCATACGATGGACGAAAAATCAGCCAGTTTTCACCAAAAATGAGGACTTGCTCAATTTGAAAATCGTAATAAGCCAAACGACTTTAGAACGACGGGATTCAACCATCGTCTTTGGATGAGAACAACCTATGAATCACTTCTTCGTGTACTTTCATACGAAATGAAGGTTTCTTAAAAGATAGGTAGTCTTAGAAATTATTTTGAGGTGAATAAACTACTATCTTAGAGCTAGGCTGATTGCAGAGCAACCTTTAATTCTCAGCCTAGAATTATAAACTCTGTCTCCTTAAGTAGCTGAGTGCTTATATATACATTTTCTCTCGCATAGAATAAACCATAACTTTGGAGGTAATGGCAAAGGTGAGGCGAATCCTTTGAGACTATGAATACCGTGCGCATATAGATATTTATTTATATGAGTATTGAAGTCTTTGTAATTCATTAAAGGTGAAAAAGCATATACAAAAATATATATCCAGAACGTAATAATATTGTTGTTTACAAATAAGCAATAAAGGGATGAGAAGCGTTAGTTAGAATGGGGCTAATTTTAAATCACACACCTGGTCGCAAATCGATAAAGCCGATGAATAGTAGTAGAAGTATTAGCATTTTATCTTAGTTACAGTAAATGACAGTGATTATTTATCTACAGTTTTTACCTGTTACCTTCCTGTAAAATCCTAGCCATCACATAGTGGTTAAATATGTATTTTTGCCCTGTTATATTCAACTAAAACATGTTTTATACAAAGTTATTTTATAAAAGAAGGTTCTTCTTCACACCGTCCAGGTTTTCTTCTGAATTTATATCCTCGCATATAGGCTTTTTATGTTCAGCCTGGCGCAGAGCCGCATATATGACTGAGACCCCGAGGATGATGCCGTTACTTGCCCACCAAATCAACGGTTTAGTCTCATGGTAAACAAAAACGGCCAGGATGGTCTGAAAGGCAGCCTTGGCCGTGCCAGAAATGTTGTGCGTTAATGGACTAGTCACTTGGATTTGAAGAGTTGCTAGGTAGCCGATAGCGAAGCCAAAGAATCCCCCGATCAACATCAGAGTCCAGAAGAAAGGACTTGTGAAAGATTGAGGAGTGTGAAGAGGGAAAAAAAGAGGGGAAACGAAAAATATGAATCGAGTGGCTAGGCAGAATCTTTCAATATATACCAAAGTGAGGTTGATAGCGTTCAACTAGAGCTTTAAAGGATTATTGATTGGCATTTTAATCTGCCAAAACTCAAGGTTGCTTTAAAACACAAAATGGCAAAAAGTGTAGTGGCTGATAAAACGTAGTATCAAATCACCCTAATGATTTTTTAAGATAATAAAAT